GAGCCGTTTTCTTGTAATTAACTGTTGAAAAAAAAAAATTAAGCCGATTTTCATGGAACTTTTTTTGGCGATATATATCATGGTCTTATAGAACTTACTGAAATATCACGGCCTTACGACAAGTAGTTTAATTTTAAAAATTAATCAAAGATTAAGAAAATGAGTAGTTTTTTTGACGTTTGTTAAAATTAAAATTAGACGATTTACTTGGTATAACGATAGAGTACTTGGTTTTAATGAACATAGTAATCCATTAAAGTCCTATGGAAACTAGTTCAATTATAAAAACTGGTGATTTTTGAAAATTTGCTATTAGGAAATACTCCGAGTCAAAGTGTTCGTTCGTTTTCAATCATGTGTAATAAATCCACTCGGAATACTTCTAATCACTCATAAATTGAATTATTTTTTATTGATTAAGTCGATTAATTACACATATCGGGAAGTTCATGTAACTTGCCTCAAGGCTAAATACCAAACCAACTAGTTTTTCTCAATATTTAAATATTCAAATTGTAAGCAGGAAATAGTAATATATACATCAGGATGCTAATTTTCATGAATATGTCAAAAAACGATTTTGCAGTGCCAATAGCACAAATCTTGCATATAGGATATTATTATCAGATGGACATCGATCTGTTTAAACGCGTTCGTTGTATAAATCATCGCATTATAATCTGCCACTTGAGTACACAATGTAATTTAAGAACTGAGTATCCTGAATACACAAATCGTACTAACGCAAACACTTAACCAGCGTCAACTCTTTCGCAGCTCATCCACGACCACGTGGAAAAAATACAAATCAAGCAGTACGCAAACAAAACCGCTTTTGTATAAAAACCATCAAGCTTCTGCTGCTTGTTGTTCGTTGGATAGAATTGAAATCATATATTTTATTTGTAATGCATCCCGTTGCGATCACATGAGCAATATGGCGCGATCACCACGGTTAGTGGTGTGTGAAGGTAAAATTAATGGTCGATTCAATATTGGTAATTAATTGTTTATTCAAATATTTACATCATTTGAATTAAATGGCAACGATATACTAACAGTCACAAGTAAAAATATTGTCTCTATAAACTTAATGCTATTTTATAGATACATCCATCAGAAATTAGGTAATCACAAGGAAAACCAGCGCGTCTCTGGAATTTTGATGAAACTCTACATAATGGTAGATTTTATACCAAAACTGACCAACGTAAAATATTAGAGACCTATGAAAAACTGTTTGATTGTCAGACATAGTAAGAAATTAAAAAATATGCCAAGAGAATTGTGAGATCAAATTCAAACAGAAAAATTTAGGAAAAAAAACTAAATGACTACTAAACTAAACTAAACGCGTCTCTGGAATTTTGATGAAACTCTACATAATGATAGATTTTATACCAAAACTGACCGGCGTAAAATATTAGAGGTCTATGAAAAGCGGTTTAATTATCAGACATAGTAAGAAATTCAAAAATATGCCAAGAAAATTGTGAGATTATGCCAAGAAGAAGCAGTATTGTAAAGCAAATCTTGTTCGATATGATTCAATTTATTTATTTATTAGTATTATTGTAATATTGACCATCAAGCATTAAAAAGGATGAAATTTACATTAGATTGTGGCATTTTGATCAGATTTCACTTTTTTGAAACACGAATGACACGAATTTTCACTTTTAATTCATTTGTCGCTAAGTTATACCTAAAAATTTTTTTTTTAATTTTCAAAATTTGTTCCATGCTATTTCCATACGAAGTTTGATTAAATTGCGCACTATCTAAAAGTTAATATTGAGAGCTAAAACTTGCAGAGAATTGTTATTTGGAACCATTTGAGCCCTTGGGAGCAAGGAAATTCGAAAATGTCCATATTAAGGACCACCCTAATATATATATATATATATATATATATATATATAACATTAGCAAATTTTACTTCATTTTTAACACAGATTCTGATTATTTATTAATTATTAACATATTCGGGTTTTTGACTATTTTGAGTGATAAGATAGACATGATGGATTCAGTTGAACCAACTATCAAGAACCGTGTACTTTTATACTTATTTTTTACTATAATATATTACAACTTTTATTACAAATTTATATATACTTCAAAAATTGTACTTACAAAAAAGACATCAATAGAAATTGCATAGAATTAGAAAAAAATACAACAAAAATATGATAGAATTGGAAGAAAGGAAAAATCGTTGAATAAAAAATAAGTATGTTATATAAAGTAATAAAAATTAAAAATTGTAAGTATGTTACAGCAAAAGTCGATATAATAAGATTTACATTATATAAGTTAGTGATATCAACTATTTATTATTATGTCGATTATTTATTACGTCGATCTGCCACCCTTAAGGCCTGTCATTGCACATATCCATCGTCATGTTATCCGCCCACCCCTACGTTAAAAATCCACATATAACGCGGTCGTATGCAAATGCTCACGTATATCATCTAAAACCGAGCCGAGTGGCGGCAGATCGGCAGCAGATCGACAGCAGCGAGAGCAGCAGAATCACATACGCTGCTGCTGCGTGAAAATACGCAATGTCATACTCGAACGCATACTGTGTGTATTGATGGATTGTTACGAAGGATGTTACATGGGGACGTGTGGCACAATTTGCAATTTTGGAATCTCTGCTCGGGAATTTGATGTTATATTTATATTTTGATACTTCTTTTTGATGAAACTCGATTCGACGTTTATAGGTTAAATAAAATATTAACCCTTTGCACTCGAATGCCACCGCTACGGCGGCAAAATACATACAAATTTTGGAATTAGCGAGTGGAAAGGGTTAAGAATGATTTCGTTATTTATTAAATCTTTTACAGAAAGACTTCATTGAAAAATAACTCTATCGAAAATAGACTTTGAAATTTCTGCCGAGTATTTGATGTTACATTTATATTTGACCACTTTTTATTATTGGAACTCGAATACATGGTTATAAATTGATCAAAATATAAAAAATGTATTATGATAACTATTACTTATTGAGTCAATTGAAGAAAATCTCCTGACCAAATAAATTTATAGAACAAAGAATTTTATCAAAGAAAGAAGGGGCCGTTCAAGTATTACGTAAGCAGATTTTTACAATTATTTACCCCCCCACCCCCCTTGTCATCAAAAGTAAGCAAAGCTCTTACCCCCTCCCCCCATGCTTACGTAAACATTTTGCAATTAATGTATACAAATTTTCGTCGATGATATCGGGAACACGGATGAAGCGATTTGAATAATTCAAAGAACATTGGATTCGTATTGATAAGGAGATGTGCTGATTAGGTTTTGGCGAAGGCAGGTCTAGCCGTTCCGAAGATATGGGACAAAAAGTGCCAAAAATGGTAACTCAGTTTTTAAGAGAACGGAGGGTCCGATTTTAATAATTCAAAAAGCATTTTACTTGTATTGACAAGATGAAGAACTGATTATATTTTTGAGAAGGCAGGTCTAGCAGATATGGATTCTCAATAAACATAAGTTAAAAAAGTGTCATTTGGCGATCAAAAATGTTTATTGGACATATTTACATCAAATTATCAGATATTTTATAGAGATTTTAATATTGTGTACACATTTTGTGAAATTTTTTTTGGGTTCCGTACCAAGATTTTTAATTTTGAAGTTTTTTTTATATGGTTTAGACAAATGTTCTTGATATTTTCGACAGTATGGAATAACCGATTTATAAAATTGAAAAGTTATTCGGTTCGTACTCGATCGCGAGGCGTTTTTGCAAAAGGCAATTTTGCTGTTTCGGAGTGTAAAAACGGTTACGCAGTTTTTTTTAAAAAAAAAAACTATGACGTAATCATCATCTAGACCCCCCTGCCCCCATGTCACCCAAAATAAGCAAATCAATAACCCCCCCGCCCCTCTAAAGTGCTTACGTAATACTTGAACGGCCCCGAAGGACTTTATCAAAGAACGAAGGACTTTACTGAAGAACGAAGGGCTTTATTCAAAAAATGACTCAATTCAAAAAATGACTCTATTCAAAAAAAAAGACTTTGTCAAAAAATAAGGAATCCATCAAATAAAGACGGACTCTATCAACGTATGATAGACTCTACCAAAATATGAAGTTTTGTACTGCATTTACTGTACAGTTTAAATTAAACAGTTTGCTATGACAATGAACTACATAAAAACAAATACCTAAAATCATAACTTATCCAAACCTTTCTTTTAGCATCTATATTCAAACCTTTTTTTCCATTCATCACGTAATTTCAATAATAAACAGGTTTTGTGTCTCAAATAAATATATAAAAATTAGTAGATTTTGCTGCCTGTTCTGTATGAAGTCAATAGAGATCTCTATTGAAAGCCATATATTTAATCGAGCTAAATTAAATATAATACGATATAGTAGTTCACGATTAATTGTATTTAGTCAATTTTACAAACAGAATGAATTTGAAACTAAATAAACCATACCCTCTATATATAGACATAAACCCTTCTTTTTGTATATTATATTATTTGAATGATATATCCATTCTAAGAATAATCATTTAAATTTTTGGTTAGCAGTAAATTATTATTTATCGCTTTGTTATATAATATTAAAAATTTATTATTGATTGAATCTTTCCTAAAATATTCAATTCTGTAGTATTTTAACAGTAAATAGTTTGACCGGTGTGGTTTATAAAAAAAAATATAAATGGCTTTAGTTTTGTCCATACATGATTTTAGTATAACAATTTACTAACAATAAGAATTCTGAGATTCTTTTTTTAAATCAATCAGAACTTACAAATCCTATGAGCTATTGTAATGATACATCACATATAGTAGCTTTTCAGAAAACAACCCAACGGTTGGCCTATCCCTATTTTATTTATTATTAAAATGTCTCCAGTACTAAAGTTTCTTTCTTTGCAACAATGCCGGAAAAGAGCAATCTTTACTAGGCAACATATTTACATCTATACAATAATAACTGAAATAATTTTACTAACCTGAAGCAACTCCAGATTGCATATTGCAAGATCGTATATCGGATGTCTCTGCGTTATCCAAACAATCAGAAGATCGCATATCATTATAATTTTGCAAATGAATATTTTCCTCCATATTCGGCAACTCTTGGGTCCAGTCATAACTCCTCGGATTGTACATCTATAATAGTATAAACATTTGTAACTTTATTTTATATATTAAATTGATAATCATAATTATTTCAATAAACCAAAAAAATATAATTATTTTGATTATCAATTTTATCATTAATTACAATTATAATTAATAAGTTGATGCAAGATGCATTATCTATTAATCGGAGTAACGTCCATGTAATTATATCGTCTCCTAAACTAACATTTTATAGTCAGCCTTTCTTATTATACAGTTTTTGGTAAAATTTTGTTCTTCGATGTTTACATAATTTCTTAAACCCTAAGGATTTTCCAGTTCCATTGTTCGATCAACATGAATAAATATTTGTAACTTAGTCATAGGGATTAATATTCTATAATTTTCCCTAAAATACCGTATGAGTCGTAGGGAATTTCCAAATGCACATTTTTATTCAAGAATTATATACATAGATAAAATTTAGATATTCATGCACAATATACTATAAAATCATACTGACATCTTATCTCTAAACGTGTTTTGATTTATTTTTAAACACGAGCATAGAAATCTGACAGAAACCAGTTCTAAAATTCAAAGTTCAAATTCATTTTTATAACATCACTGCATTTGTGAGTTTTTGCTTACGGCTAGATATCAATTTGATTATTTGATTGTTATATATTAAAGCCAAAAATAAAAATATAGTCTTATTTTTTAAGTGGAATAATTTGACAGTCAAAATACTTGGTAAATGTTTTGTGTGTGTTTGGGATGTAGTTTAATAAATTGCAATTGTGAGTGTGTATAATTAAAGTATTGTAAATTGCAAGGAAAATTGTGTGTTGAATTTTATAAAAAAAAAAAACGAGAAAAAACAATTCTGATGCGCAAACATGTGAACACAAGTCTCAAGTTCAGCGAACTCACCTGTTGCTGACTGTGTTGATATATATTCGTCATCTGCTGATAATAGGCCGGGGCTGGCAGTCCTCCATAATGATGATAATCATTCATCAATGCACTCGATCCGACGTGATCAGCGTACGAAATCATTGGCAAATTTGCTTCATCCGCACCGTACATAGCAGTAGTTGATAGAGCCATCGAATTTTGCAAAAACTTTTTTTTTTATCAAAACTATTTATCGTTTTTCCAACACACTTTAGTAACAATTCACAAACACCAATAAATTTTCAACAAAACTCAACAACTATATTATTTCACACGTCACTGGTGACCAACGAACATTGACTGAATAAGTGCAACGATCTCGACACCCTATATCAATAAGTCTTATCGATGATTTTACCTGTTGCTTGGCCCGGTAGGGTAGGGTGGGGGAGTTTTTCGGCAGTTTTGTATTGCATTAAGAATACACCGTTTACTTCGACTCTCAAAAGTTCGAAGCACTGAGGTAATCGGCTGACCAATCGCGGTGCAATATTGCGCTATGGCTTTCTTCGGCAACCCTTTTCGGGGACACTGCACGACCAGGTATGTCCGATGACAGGTTGTTTGCGTTTTTCGTAACCAGGCAATTGTATAGAGAGTCAGGGGTGGACTTACAATAAAAGGGGTAGTTGGGTAATAAAATGGTTTAAACTCATAATAATGATGAAATAAAGTTTGCCGAATTTATATTTCATAATTCAATTGACTATTATTTCCAACATCTTTAGAAATTTCAATTATATGTACTATATACGTACTAAAAAAAAACATATGTAAATTGTGAGTTATAAACTTTCCAAGTAAAAACAGATAACATTTTTGGTTACATCATAATGCATATTCAATCTTTAACTATATGAATTTAATTATTAAAAAAAATTATAAACTAGAGAAAAATATATATGAAATTTTCCAAACGAGAAAACTTTAGATTAAGGTTTAAGCTATTTGAGGTAAAATGTAAGCTATTTGAGGTAAAACGCATTTGTCATAACTTGTACTAAAAAATGAATTAGTAATTCAAATTATTATTATTTGTAGCATATTATAATATTTAAACTTAATTATACGCATTGAAAATAAAAAAAATACATTTAACAACAATTAATTAGTAATCGTTAATAATAATCATTTTGCTTTATTTGCATTCTTGGAATTATAATTACAAAGAGATTTTATGATTTTTCAACTGTAAATAAAATAAAACACGTGATTTTAAACTTTTTCAAATTTAATATCATTTATGTTGCTCATTTTACTGCAATTATATATATTTGTTCAAACAAATATAAATTCATTATTCAAACACAATGTGTAACATGCAAGACAAATCTATTTAATGAGAATGTCATCATCACAAACATATATTAAAGACTCTAATAAATATTTAATACAATAAATCATATTTTTTATGGAAAAAAGTTTTAACATTAGAAATTTATCATAAAATATGTGCGGACATAAAACAATCACATATTAGTAAAAAGCTTATCATTGGGTAATACTTGATATTGTTGCATCTTTATACATACTAATCTTATTAACGGTTTTCTTATTAAAAAACAGATTGTAATTTAATCTTAAAAAACAAATCAAAACACCGCCCAAAAAATGCTTAAAGTCATTGGCTTCTTGAATAACATTTGGATCAACTATAATTGTTTTCCATACTTTATTATATTTGTATCAAAGTTTTCAAATTGATAATATTTACTTTGCTTAAAATAAGCGCATAAAATACATTATTTACATTTTTTTTAATAATTTTCATAAAATAAATTTGATGTATACGCGAGCTTCATTATATTTCTGGCTATTCAATTAAAAATGACATTTTATCGGCCGTTATAAAAATTGTGTTTTTATTTCTAATATTCTTTTTTTATAAGCACAAAGCTATATTTGTGATTTATGTTAACAAACTACAATGCTGCAGACAAATAATCTGTTAAAGCTAATCTGGTCCGTCCCTGACGTAAATGATAAATTTTACAGGAAAAGGACTATAAAAGGATATTTACCTACTATATTGTCCCCGCTACTGGTCTTAACAAGTCTAGTCAGAATGTCGTTCTGATACAAGATAGACGACTTCGATTCCTTAATCCCTAAGTCAAGTGTATTTTGTTGTTTTCCCTATCATCGCATAAAACTATATGTTACAAAATTTTTGACCTAGATTTTGCGATTTTGCGATACACATCTTGGCCGGATGCATATTTCTTAATACAATTTGTATTCCGAACGGGGTACCTACTATGAGTAATATTTCTGGTGCTTTTATTTGTTTTTGTACAGTAATAGTTGATACTATAAAAGTATTTATATATGCGCAACTTTAAAAGTATGTATATTTAGTATTTGAACAAAACGGTTTATTAGTTTCACTGCATCTGTTTTTCTTACTAGTTCTATGTATTTTAAAGTTAAAGACAAAGTATTGAGATCTCTACATTTTATTTTACAAATTAGTGTATTCAAAATTTTGTTTTAATATTTTATTCGTCCGATATGTGCAAGGTTATATAAAATATAAAAGATAATAAATAAAATTATTTTGTAACATTTGTCTTTATTACAACATCAATTTTTTTTTTCAAAACTCATATTATATTCCAGGGTTAATATCTATTATTTATGGAGCAGTAATGCTGATAATGATTGTTTATAAATATTAATATAAAAAATGGTTATCTAATTATTAAAAACTTTTTTTAATTAATTATGAAATGAGTAATTTTATTAATTTAATTTAGTGTTTAGTTGGGTTTTACTGCAATGCTGAATGAATTTTAAATTTTCGGATGTATTTAATACAGATTGTAACTTTATTTATTTCATTAAATTGAGTGTGCGTGGTAATAAAAATTATATTACATTTATTTGCATATTAAATATAGGGTAAAATATTTTTCAAAGTTAGGTTTTACTGTAATAGAGAATGTCTTTGTCGATATTTCCTGATTCAATACAGATCATGATAATCTTCATTTCATTAAATTGAGTTCTTGGGATTAAAAATTAAACTAACTATAGTGTAAATTAATTTTTAACGTCTAGTTAGATTTAAATATACTAGTCTATTATTTATTATTTCCGAATCAAAGTGGAGTTCATAGCAATAAAAATTATATTAAATATTTTGTAGAATAATTTTTGTATTAGTATTTCAATTTTGCCAGTAAGCCAATTTTGTATTAGTATTTCAGGATTATTAATAGATAATAATTTTTCTAATTTGATTAAATTGGTTTTTATGGGAATAAAAATTATATTATAGTGTACATTAATTTTTAAAATTTAGTTTGTTTTTAATATAACAATGGTATTATTTGTTAACATTTCTGGATGTGTTGAATACAAATTATAATTTTTTAAATATTTTTAATGGGAATCAACATTATATTGAATATAGTGTAAAAAAATTTATTGATGTAAAAGTTAGTTAAATTCACTAACATTTTGAATAATTATATAGGATAGCGCAGGGCATAAAGGTCCAGCTCGATTTTGAGCAATTATATTGTAAAAACCAAACAAAAACTATATTACAACAAATAACACATATTAAACAAATAACTATCTGACTACGTTTGGATAAGTTCCAGCTAATTCATTTTTGTGGAAGTGTTATTTTGCTGTTTTCAAAAATTTGTCACCTGGTCTCTTTTACCCCTTGGTCGGATAAAATGGGACGGCCATTGGCAAATAAATGCACAAAGTTATAGTAATTCAACCAGTGCAAAATATTAATTTCATGGGTACATTTTTTTACTAACTTCTGTGAGATAACACTTGTAGGTATATAAACTTGATTTAGAATTTTGTCAGAAATAATGATGGAAGCAGTGTTGGAATAACTACTTATTAAACTTACGTAATTTTGCTTTTTTTAACTTAATTTACTTCTTCATTTGCTATTTTTATTATTCACACCTTCGCCAAAGGTTAAGTTCGTACTTTTTACCCTTTCTGGATGTTTAACACAGATAATTTCATTATATTTGACATGATTTTCAAAAACTTAAAAAAAAAGTTTCACAAATTTGAACATTTTAACAATTTAGCTGCTTTCCAAGAAATTTATAATTTATCACAAAGCAAATTAAATAAATAAAATTATTTCAAATAGAACTGTTCAATTAAAAACTAAAATCCTTCATTTGCATACTAATCAAGATTTTAATAAAAATTTTATTATTTTAATTATATATATATATATATGAATATATATTCATATTCATATATATATATATATATATATATATATATATATATATATATATGAATTCATTACAAAAATTCTGAATCTTGTATGTATAAACATTTTACCTTTCACTAAAGTCAACTACCCCTTCAGCTATGCGTCCATGCAGAATTTCCCAATTACATAACAATATTTGCATAGTATGGAAGTACTAATTAGGAATGATTTGTAGATCGTAAAACATGCTGGAAGGTGTCAGGGCGCCTTCGGAATCAGACGTCGCGACCTTCCGAGCTTTCCAGGACTCGCCAAATAATAATAATAATGAATCCTTTTCATTCGCTCTATTTGAAATTGCGCATTACTACGCAACGGGAGGTCGGGATTAACCATGTTTAACTCTTCAAAAGTCACTTTCGAGTACCCCTTATTAATTTTTGTTATTGCCGGTGGTTTAGTGCACAGGATGTGATAATGTTTAGTTATTTATGGCCATCGTAAATTTGTACGACGTGTTTATTTCGCCCGAGGTCGTCGATGTTTGGGATTGATATTACAAAATTTTACATCGCGAACGAGTTGAGTTGAAGTTTTCGAAAACGACGACTAATAGTAATACGCAATGCTTCATGATAATTGCGTAGATTGGTGGATGTCTAGACTTTTGGACTGACCGTCTTCAGCCAGTTTTTCTGATGAAAATTTGTGAATTTCTGAAAATTATACATTGAACTATCATTTATGTAATAATCACTGAAAACTATAAACTATTAACTAAACTTTTTTTCAAAAATCATCAATTTAATTCTTATTTATTTAGTAGGTTATTTATATAGCCTTTCCTCTAAATTATGTAGGGGGGGGGGCGTCTATAGAAAACATGATCAAATTCTAAGCAATCACCCCTACCCTTTAGTGATATGTTGTGATTACCCCACCCCCGCCG